AGTCCAGTTGAAGTATTTGTAAGGTGAATCAAGTCATAATAAAATAGTTTATTCCTCTCCTCTCCTTGTGTGTTTTTCTTCGAGAGTTGTCGACGAGAGTTATCGACGATCGAGGCATTCACCTTCAAGAGTTGTCGACGAGAGTTATTGACGATCGAGGCTTTCACTTTTGAGTGTTACGCCTTTAAAACTCAACAAGGAGAAATCGTCCTCCCTCGGTTGCTTGCTGTTCACGCCTGCTCCAGCCAAGATGTGCTTTCGTTTCTAGCTCATTGTCCCCTTGGTTCGGTCAACCATAGCTGCTGCAAAGCCCTCAGTCCCCTGACATGCCTTCTCCCCATGGTTTGCAGCTAAAAAAATGGCTGAATTGCAGAGACTGCAGCAGAGAATCTTTTTGAACTGGAGCCTGATAATTCTGCTAACCATGTCTTAATGATGAACCCGCATGCCATGTCGATGGAAGGATGTTGATCATGTCAAAGAGCTGATGAATAGCAGCGCAGGGGTGAGACATGGACAAAGCTTGGATCTGGATACTAAGGTATGCAAAACGGACAGCCCAAATCAAAAATCACCCAGACCGAATCGGACCGAATCCGCCAGTTGGGTATGATTCCCGAGAATGTTGATGCGGTTCCCAGTTCCTAAAAGTGGAACCGGTATCCGGGCAGTCCGATTCTTGGTTCCAAAAAGAACCGAACCAAACTGGACCGATTATGCACATCCATTTTTTTTTTCTAACACCCCCGGTAATCAGAACGCAGCCGCATTTTAAGTCTTGAATATGAATCTAAAGTCAAAGCCAAAAAATAATATGATTCTTTGCTAGCTCTTTCTTTTGAGACGGATTCGTTCCAATTGAAGAAAGGCCGTCATGATAAAGAAAGGCTGGCCTTATTTCCAGGGAAGAGAAAAACGAAAGATAAAATGGGCCACCCACGCACGTGTTGCGCATAGTAGAACGTCTAATGGTACAGTGTCGAGTACGTTACCTGGTGTCCAAATGCATTTCTGCAAAAAGAAGGAGAAAATTTCAAGAGTTTCCGATTAAAAATAGTCATGGTGCATGAGTTGCAAGACTTAACTTAAGTGTAAAGAAAAAGTAAGTCGAGACAGGTCGTAAATCATATCACTAGTACTTATATCAAGTCAAGGTTTTCAATTTTTTTTTTCTGATTAGATTGATAAACTATTGTTATCACTATTCATATGGATCTTTTGACATGAGCTCAGTCTAATTCTTGGAACCTTAGATTTGACAAAACCCGAAATTGTCTATTTGTAAAACATTCATTTGCATTATTGCACATGAGCCTTAAGCCATGAATTGTTGTTCTATTTTAATTAATCAATTATAAACGTGAAAATCACCACATTCTACCCTAACACAAAGCCGAGATGGTCATTTACACTCTCCACACAACAAATTGAGCCATCATTTTTGTGAATTAGAGTAAAGTTAACATAGTCTATCGAGAAAATTCGAGCTATTGTTACCTTCTCTTCTTGCAGTATAGACATTGCATCATCTCGATTCCACAAACCGGCTATGCCTCAATCGATTATGCAAGTTCGACCAAACACACATGTCTCGGAGACCCTTAATTTCAATAGAAGTATTAATACTTAGAGTCACCTCATAAGTAGTTTGGAAATCCTCTCGTCCTTTTTAGTAAAGAAACATATGCTATATTCGCAAGACATCTACCTTATCTCTCAATTTAGAAAGTTACCGCATACACTTCTTCGACTTTGTCACGAGTCTTTCTTTATAACATCTATAATGTCTCTCCCCAATGTCAATACATCCGTGGGAAGCCCTCCAAAATTTTTTTTTTGGTAATTTCTTCATACCCCTCCAATTGCTATAAAAAAGGACTAATTGAATCTCTATGCCTCTTTGCTTCTATGGTTGGCAATTACGATGCCTCAGGAGAGGTGAAAGCAAGGAATAGTATTTTTTGAAATGGTTAACATTTATCACCCGATTTCTAAAGTTCGGAATACCCCATTCTCTTCCAAGTTAATCGTTCCCTTCTCGTCATTTTCGCTAATCACCTAATTGCTTTTGTTAACTCTAATTGTTGTCATCATTCTTGATGCTCGATCACACACTTTTCATTGCATTCTTCCTTAGTTTCTTCACTCTATTCAATGATCTTTTTTTCAATGATCTTGCTACTATATCAATGCTTCTTATCTCTTGTCAGCCGGGTGGGGAACCTGTGATCATGATTCATGAATGTGGCCACAATTCAAAAAAAATCCTCTGGAATTGGAAGGATGATGGATCTAGTTCCAACTACCCAAAATCCAAAAAAAAAAAAAAAAACAAAGTCACGTATTTTTCTGAATTAACTATGATGGTGAAACAGGCTTCCTCTTGAGTATCTTTGGTCCAATCCCCTTTTCTTTTTTTTCTTGGAAAAAGAAAAGGTTAGTTTACTGACTCTGCAACAAGTTCCCCATATGACCATCGCATTCTTTTGACCATCAAACCCTTTCCCTTCCGACTTCGAGGAAAAGTGATCAAACAAATAAGGGCAAAAAATAATTTTAATCAAATTATTAAACAAAACAATATCTTCCGAATCAATTGCTAATCACACGTTCTGGCAAAGAAATTCTTCACGTCAGTACAAACAACGATGGTCTGTTTGTGTCAAAATTCTTCTTTACGCAGGCAATTTTTATCGTTTTAGATCTAAACGATTCTTCAGTCGATTGAAGAACAAGTAGTTAAATATTAGGGGTGTGCATGGTTCGGATGGGCGGTTTCCGCCCCAGAACCGTGGACCGCCCGCTACAGGACCGGTTCCAAAAATTGAAACCGAGAACCACCCGTCGGTTCCATGGATCCACCCAAGAACCGGACCACCGGTCCGGTCCGGTTCCCGGGTGGGTCTATGGAACCGGTCCCAACAAGTTTTCCTAGACAAATAAAAAAAAAATCTGTGGACCAACATCGGATCAACAGAACAAAAAGAAAATAACATAATTTTCCATACAATTCATACACTATGATCGGTTATATTAACTACATCATCCATAAATTAAGTGGGTACCCATTAATTATTGGGAAAAATGACCAAGGTTATCCCAATTACACAAGACCTTTAGACATGATAACAAATTTTCTTCTTTTTTAAAATTTTTTTTGGTCAGATTTTTTTAGTTAAAAATTAAAAAAATAAAATATATTATTATTATATTACCGATCGTCCGGGTGAGCGGGTGGGCGGTTCCACACCGGGAACCGGGAACCGGACCGGTACCCACCGGTTCCAAAAAATTGGAATCGGGAACCGGACCGGTTTCCTTGGGAACCATCGGTTCCGGGCGGTCCCGAGCGGTTCGGGCGGGTCCTAATTCTTTTACACACCCCTATTAAATATGAGGTGATCTATATAGCAATGTTTAATCACAGTCTTAATTAATGTTAATGAGTGAGAAGCCGAAACGGCGAAAATGATGATAGGATGGCCAGTCAAAGCGGTGGGCGGGAGAGGGCTGTCAAGACCGACAGCAGCAGCCCACGAGACAAAACGACGCAGCTTTTCTGGGGGGTTCGATGCTTCTCTTCCGCAATCCGAAGGTGGCGATGTGATTGGCTCAGATTGCGGCTGCCTGTCGCTGTCGCTTTCCATTCAAGTCATCTCCGCCCACACCTTATCCTCTCTCTCTCTAAGTTTTTTTTTATAATCCTGCTATTTCACCAGGGACTCATCAATGAAATAGCATTAATTCAACGAACTATAAGTCAATAGGAATGCTGCCCGCTAGCAAAAGAAAGGGATATGTGTACTAAAAATTTAAAATTTATCATAAAAATATAATTAGTCTTAAAAAATTTTTAAAAAGTATAAATAAGTCTTAAAATTTATCACGAAAGTGTATTTGAGTCACTAAAATTTTGAAAAGTATAAATAAGTCAAAACTTGAAATCTGGGACCCCAAGTCCTACACCCTTACCAACGCAGCCAACCTCTTGGAGGCATCTCTCTCTAAGTTGGCTCCTGCTATTTCATCATGGACTCATCAATGAAATAGCATTAATTCAACGAACTATAAGTCAATAGGAATGCTGCTCGCTAGTAAAAGAAATTGGGAGGTGGAGGTGCTCGTATCACCGACCGTGAGGTTCGACTCCGTACTCTACTTTAATATATAAAGAGAGTTAAAGATAAGGAAAAAAAATGAATTATAAGTTTTTGTGCTCGATTTCAACCCTCAAAGAAAATAGGTTAATATGACAAAAATCTCAAATTAGTATACTTGTAACAAGTTTATTCCAAACTAATTTTTTAGATAACCAAATTTAAATGGGTGCACCTGTGAAAAATTTATCCAAAAACTAATTTTTGGATCACTAAAAATCCTAAAATTGTACACCTACAACAAATTTACCTCACGAGAATTAATTTTACCCAGTTTCGGAAAAATCCTTCCTCATAATACTAAACATCAAAAAGATGACAACTTTTTTTCTTTTTATTTTCGGTGGATGTGGATTTAAAACCTTAAAAATTTAATATTTAAATAAAAACTATACATATAGCTAATTTAACAAGTAAGGCTAGGGAGCTCATTTACAAGTTGCTCCTAAAAGTTGATAGATTTTTCGAGAAGTTGGGTACTTCCTTACGATCTAATTCAAAATCTCTTGCTCCTCACCAAACTTTTTTCTAGGGGAGTTCCTTTTTTCTCTTTGTCGAACAGGAGAGGTAGCTCGTAGAAATCATTTTGTCTTTCGTCGTGCTACAAAGAAATGCCTTTCAATCTTTAAAGTACATCATCATGTCCATAGTAATTGGACCCCAACATGATTAAATAAAACAAACCAAATCACATCCATACATTTTTTTTCTGTGACCAAAGAAGAAATATGCATATTTTTTCTTATTATCATAGGCGAATTGTAAAATAAAGATCGTCCATATAAATAAATTATGAAAAATGGTCTTTGTACTTTGTTCAGCCTTTTGTGGACATTTGAAGACAAAACAAGCAAAGCCCATATTCCCAAATAGGGAAACTCTCTCTCTCTCTCTCTTTCTCTCTCTACCTCCTCTGAGCCTTCTTCTGCGTTCTGGTTTCAGCTCCTCCCTCCGTCTTTCCTCCTCAGAATCATGGAAGGCTCAGCTGATGAACGTCTTGATTTTGGGAAGATGGGCTACGGGTGGGTATATATATATAGTTCTAACTCTTCTCGTTTTCCTTTTTCCTCAGAATCATGGAAGGCTTGTTGTTGGGTACCCCTTTTGTCCTGTTCCATTGATTTGTTGTTTGATGTCGTGCATCAGATGCCAGCATTACAGGAGGAGGTGCAAGATTAGAGCTCCCTGTTGCAACGAGATCTTCCCCTGTCGCCATTGTCACAACGAGGCCGCGGTAAAGAAGCGAAAAGATGATTAAAAAATGAATCTTTCTTGGTCTTAATTCGCTGTAGGATCGTTCTTTTTGATTTTCTGCATGTGGGTATTTGATTTTTGTTCTTGTTGGGTAACCTTTGACTGATTCAGAGCACGCTGAGAAACCCCTTTGATCGGCACGAGCTCGTTCGCCAAGACGTCAAACAAGTAGGATTTTGTCTCTCTTCTCTGTTTCGCTACGCTAACTTTAGCGTTTCCTTATTTATGTGGATTTCTTGATGTTGTCAGGTGGTTTGCTCGGTTTGTGACACGGAGCAGCCGGTATGAAATGCGAGATTTGTAGTGAATAGAACTCCTTTTGATTGAATTTTCTGGTTGAGGATCTGAAACTAATGTAATTTGCATATCTTTCAGGTGGATCGAGTTTGTACAAACTGTGGAGTCAGAATGGGAGAGTACTTCTGCAAAATTTGCAAATTCTTTGATGATGATGTAATTGACTTTTCTCAGCTGATGTTACAAAGATCTCTGAAAAGTGACGTTACAAAGATCTCTGCTTTTCTAGGTTGTAGCTTGGATTCTAGAGACGATACTTTGGTCTTATTCTTTTTGGAGACCTTGATTTGGTTTATTTGTCATGGTTTAAGTGGCTATGTGGCCTCAATACCAATTTTTTTACTTCGTGCGATGCGAGAATTGTGATTAAGAAATGGCACTGTTGTTGCAGACTGGGAAGGGGCAGTTTCATTGTGATGATTGTGGCATATGTAGGTGAGTAAGTTCTAGTTGGATGTTCTTACGAGTTTCTCGGCATTATGTTAAAGCTGAACTCGTCGATAATGATCTGACTCATATCATATTACCGGTAACAGAGTTGGTGGGCGCGAGAACTTCTTCCATTGCAAAAAGTGTGGTGCGTATTTGATAGATATTGATTTTAATTCGTGATCATGGTATTTTGATACCTTTTTCAGTTCTATTACCAAATTTTCAAGTATGTTGTATATGGATATGAACATTGTAGGAGCTCCTTTTGCCTGCAGTTACTTAAAAAAATATCTTAAATTAGATCTAAATTCAATTTCTTGGGAATTGTTGCTATAGACTGGAAGTGACATTACTCTCTACTTGAACAGAACATGGCCGTAGCTTGTTATGTTCATTACCTTGGTATTGTGACCAAATAGCGATTCAATTGAGATTTTGTTTTGTTCTAAAATCTGCAATACATAGTAGGTATCCTTGGATCAACCAAAAAACAAAACAAAAGCAAAAAAAAAAATATGTATCCTTGATGGATAGTGATATTTTCAATTTCTTTAGTTCCCAGCAAGGTATATCGAAGGCATTATATGTGGACCTAGCTTCTTGCCTACATCGAGATGTCAAGATGATGCTACTTTGTATATTAGCAAACTCTCTTTCCTTCGTAAAAGAAAGCGTCTTTGCAGATGACTTCTCCAGTTCCAAGAAATCATAGGCTTAGTGAGTGGTCATCACCGATAAGCTTATTAAGCATTATATGGTGCTAATTATTCCTTCTCCTGTTTGTGGCTACTCAGAGGTGAACATAGCGAAACATCACTAGATTGGAAAGACATGAAAGATTGACCATTTGAAAAGAAATGACAGATTTATCCATCTAAACCACTGAATCTGCTTTATGTACTAGAATATTGGTGTCTATTTGTCTATAATTATGTACACCTTGAACACCATTTTAATCTGAAATACATGGTCATGAGTATTGTTTTACAGGCTCTTGCTACTCCATTGGTCTAAAGAATAACCATTCGTGTGTGGAGGACTCCATGCGTCATCACTGCCCCATATGTTATGAGGTTTGTATTGTAGTTTAGTTGCCGTCTGAAATATTTAAAAGGACAGATTTTGAGATTATTTTATGTTGGTCCACCATTTCTTGACTCTTCTATATTGTTCTTGTGCAGTACCTTTTTGATTCTTTGAAAGATACGACCGTTATGAAATGTGGGCACACGATGCATTGTGAATGTTATAGCGAGATGTTAAAGCGTGACAAGTGAGCCATTTCAACTTTTTTATGCTAAGTTACTTAAAAAGGTTTGTCTTATCCATTTGGTTTTCTGACTTGAACCCATTACCTGCACCAGATACTGCTGTCCAATATGTTCCAGATCTGTGATAGATATGTCCAGGACCTGGAAGAGAATGGATGAGGAGGTAGGCTCACAAATACAGAACCTAATTTTAGTCTATGTAAAACTGTTGTTCACCTTGATATGTGAGGCTATACATGATGGGGCATTGGGAGCAATTGTCTTTTATAACAATCTCGAATTTGATCCTCACGAATCACTTAATTTTGACATTCTGAGCAGATAGAAGCAACTCAGATGCCTGAAGATTACCGCTATAAGAAGGTGAGAGCTCTCTCGTCCTTTCTGACCATCTTTTCCTCATTTCACGTAGTTTTTCTGGGCGAAATGCTATATTTCAATCTTGAGGCTTGTTTTATCATTGCTCTGATTATTATCCAGTGTCATAGGAATCTCTTAGATCAGCCTATGTTTTGGGCTATTTTGAATCTTTACGATTCATTGTGATTGTGCTTTCTGGTCTGCAGATTACATCTTTGGTTTGTCTGCTTCATTTGAGAACAATGATACACTCACTTTCGAAATGTGAATAAATTGTCTCCAATGTCTGTCTGTTGTTACCCGTATAGAATGCCTTTATCACATGCTCTGCTATGCTAAGCTTATTTTCTCTAGAAGTGATTCTAAGATGGCAAATGGAATTGCAGGTGTGGATTCTATGCAATGACTGTAACGACACTACTGAAGTTTACTTTCACATTATCGGGCAGAAATGTAGCCACTGCAGATCCTATAACACACGAGCAATTGGCCCTCCGGTTCTTCCTCAATGACTAGGTTTTAAATCGAGCAATTGTACTGGCCAGGGAGGTATGACTGAAGCTTTCGTGCTTTGTGTGAAATGGCAAGGATGCTTTGGTTTGTACCGGGTCTCTATTTATCAATTTGATCATTCTACAATGTTTATGTACCATTATACTCTTCTTTATCGGATCTTCTTGAATCATACATTCTTCCTCCAAATTCATGGAGTTGAAGCCCAGCTAACGGGTCTCTGGGGTTCTGTAAGCAATTCAAAGATACCAACATGGGGATTGGGGATTAAATTATTGCTGCTGTGACAACATTCTGAGACTAATATAATCTCCTCTTTTTGTCATTGTTTTTCTTTAATACCAATGTACTGTGGCTCGTAGTCTCATTTGTGCATGGAAGCGCTTGTTTGATGGTGGAATTTTATCCATAATCAATTCTATTTAGCATATCATCGGGTTAGTTGCTGCAAAGCTATCTCTGGCCTGGCATAAATCAAAGATTGATTCGTGTTCGAGATTGAATAGAGCTGCTACTTATCCAGTACTTGTTCAGGGATTCTTTTCATCTAAAGCTGTTTAATTTTCTTGTTTATCAAATTGTAAAGAGAATGCAACTTCATAAATGTTCAGTGGAATTGTCTAAGATGGACATTCATAAACTGAGTAGGAGTTGGTACTTCTTTAATATCATAATGCTTCGACTGAGACTCAATAGACATTTCCTTTTCTTTCCCTATTTCCCTATATATATCTGAAAAAACTTGAGATGCTAGTCCAAGTGTACGAAATCGAGACCCGGACATGCTTCATACCATGAGAATGTCCTGCTTAATCTTCTCGATAGCGCCGTCTGCAACATCATTCACTGCAGCCGTCACCGTCATGCTCATCCACCCTGCCTGAGCCACAACATTAGCGGCAAGAATTTCTGCTCGATGTCGGCCGAAGACACTAATGATGTCGGTCACCAAATTCCGTCTGATAGAGGACGTGATTGCAAAGACAGCGAGATTGCTGTCGGACAAAGTGACGCTAATCGATGAGCTGTTGGCTGTTACCTGAGCTGACGATATCTTCAGCATCTCCAACCTCGCCCTCTCCTCTTCAAGGAACCTGATGTAAAGAGATGCTTCCTGCAAAATTTCTGCCCTTGGAGCCTGCAGAAACATAAGATGATGAAACAGACATGATCAAGAAATCTTAATTTGGCCCAGAAAAATTACACCTTTCTCCAATATTTTGCTCGGCAATTTCATTGACTTGGTGAATTATTAAGAAATAAATTCCTGATAGAGATGATTAACAGAAGACCAATTTGCTGTGTGCCAATGGTTGATATGGCTATTCGGCTGCCAATTTGGTTTACAATGCCGTGATCGTGTCTGATTCATGCCGATTCTTGCCAATGTAAGAAAACACCGCCATTTTTACTCAACTTAACAAGCTAAATGACTGACCCTGTTGGTATCAAAACAGAGATCACTGGCTCTGTTTGTTGGTTTCAAAACAGAGAGTACTGACATCTAATAAACAATGATGTCCTTTTCATCCTTATATTGACAATTCTGTGTCTAATGTAAAAGATGAATGGGAAGGCGAGGAAACCTTGGGGCACATGCTGGGGATCATAGACCGGAGCTTCGTGTACAGCTCGGTGATATTCTCCCTCCTGCACTTGTCTCTCATCGAGCCCTCGGGTCTCCCTCGATCATCGCTCCCCGCCCTCCTGCGCTTCCTCAGGCCGAACCCCTTCACGCCATCGGCGGTCTCTCCTCCACCTTCCATGACAAACTCCCTGAAAACTTCCGCCTGCGCCGTCCCGCCGTCCAACTAACAATGTCTGTCTTTAGAGTTCACTCTCACTGGGGAGGAGTGGAGGGCATGTCCTTTTTATGTTACTCCGCGAGTGTGTGTGAGGGAGGGGGAATGCACTCTCAGGCGGTTGGAAAAGTGCAGCGTACGGAGGGACAAGACAACGCCTTAATCAGGATCAAGATGCTTTGGAAAAGCTTCGCTAAAACAAGAATTGAGACAACAGGCAGCTGAATGCTTTTCTACCTTTTGGAATTTACATGCTTATCATGTGGTTCGCGAAGGATTCTCGAACGGTGTCGGGTTCATGCGAGCTCGATGCATTCGCGACCTTTGATTCTCAGCAGGTTTCACACGAGACCTATATGATCCGACGGTTGCAATTTAGCGAGCTCGCCTGATCATAGTATGATTAATATTTGCTTGGGATCCACACATGCTAAGTGTGTGCAATCTATTTCCTACGAGAGCAACACACTTCTACACGAATATATTGGAAAGGCAAGAGGAGACATGCCATGTGTGCATGAGGCTTTAGTTAAAGTTGGGTGAAAACCCAACAAAAAATGATGGCCATGGTCAATTGGAATTGACCCAACTCTATATTAAAGGGGAAACAAGAGCTTTGGCAAATTTTTTTTAAATTGAACTAGTAATTAAAATGCTAATCATGATCGGGTTACTCGCATAAGTGCACATCGTGTGATTCATGGGTTTAATTCAAATTGTGTGAGATTAGTATATTACAATTCCTAATTTTAATAGGTTCACGTGAGATCCACACGATTTAATGACTACAACATATTGAGCTTGCCTGAAATCGATGCGCCCACCCAATACTAATACCTGTGATCAATGGCGATGGCAAACATCGAGACAAGACACGATCGGCGGCGTTGGCGTGCCCCCAATTTTTTTTGCAAAAAAAAAGAAAACTCTAGTTTCGTATAATCAAAATGAGGGCGGATTTCAACTTGCGCTCATTAAAGGAAATAAGATTCGGAAGATCAATTTATCTTTAAGATCATGACACATACACAAATTTAAATGAATTTTCACGATGAGTAGATGAAATGAAAATTAACGATAGCCGTTGGATTTTTTCTCTACAAAATTGTCATGTGATCCTAAGTGAGAAATTTGCCATCTCCTTTTAAGTTGTAAGGATCCTTTTACGTCGATATTTGTTTGCTCCTAGGTGTTCTACTTCTACATACACCGTCTATATTATTAGATGAAATAAAAAAAAATCCTCTACTTTTAAGAATCGCGATTATTGTTTTCCTTTCTAATACATCAATGACTATTTATTTCACAAATATCGTGAATAATTTTATTTTTCGCTAGCAATTACCTTTCTTAAAAAAAAAAGCTTTAAGTTTTGAAATATTCTTCTCTTCCCGCATATACTTTTATAGAATTTCTATGGAGTGTATATTTATCAATAAATTTTTTCCAATATTTAACGATTCAAATATTTCAAAGTATAGTAAAGGATTTTCTTGGGCTATTGGATCTTGTGTGGCCTTCTCTCTCGCACATCTTAATTTTCTTTCTTTTTCTTTCTTTTCGACTTTTTGCATTCTCATCATTTTTCTGCATTATCCCCATTATGTCCCTTTCATTTATCCTTTTGAACCTATCTATTTTAGTCACTTCGAGTAAACCATGTACATATACACCATGAGATCTCGATAAATTTCATATGAAGAGCATGGAATTGATGTGCAAAAGTGTGATTCTCATAGACCACCCCTTTTCTATATATATAGTCCTGTATGATTGATTAGCCATACAACAAGATGGTCAAGTCCTAGGCCCGCTACACAATGAACTTTTTATTGACCCTACGTTCAGTATGGAATCGACGCCCGAAAAGACCCATGCTCATCGCACCTATCGTAAATAGAGACGATCAATGGGTGGGCGACCCATTTGGCCCCGAGAGGCCTAGAAGACAAGTGAACGGATTTGGCCAACGGGCTTTGGCGAGGAAGCACAACTCGCCCAACTTTGGCAAAAACTCGACCTGAACATTCTATCTAACTACAATAGGCCCGACTTTCGCACCTAGCTAGCCTAGCTCGGGTCTGCCCATTGATCACCAAATTATGAGAAGACGAGGCCGAAATGAATGGATTTAGGAAGATTAACAGATTTTCCACGTCTTCTGTGAATTAACAGCGTATCTTTTCGAGCAATTTGCCCCTTTTTATCAATTGATAGAGCACAAATATATCCACATAGAGCAGGCAATTTCTTACAAAAAACAAAAGGTAAGGAATAAGCAACATTTGCCAAGACACACCTTGACATGTCATTACCCAAATGAAATTAAAGGCAAAACACAGAGACATTAACCTTAAACATTGAAACTTGCAATGAATTAGAGGAGGCTTTTTGGGAAAGGCCCTTTAGCCCAAGACCGCCAAGCCGCCCATTATAACGAAAGCTAAAGAGCCGAGGAGAGACAAGACGATGGAGATGGCCACGCGGTCGCAAAACTTGTCGAAGACGTTGCACACTTTCCCCCATTGCACGTGCGAGTTCCCCTCGCGGCCAATGACCCCGACGGCCGTGGCGGCGCCGGCACCGGAGAAGAGGAGCGCCACCATGACGATGTCTGCGATCGCCACCGCCGAGGCCAGCGCTCTGCTCCTGCCCGCCTTGTTGGCGAATAGGAGGAGCAAGGAGAATGCGGCGTAGCCGCACGCTATGCCGTTGGCCACCACAAAGTACCTGAAAAGAGTTAAAAATGAAATTAAGAAAAAAAATTTAGTTAATTAAACTGAAACAATTCTATTTAACCTCCTTTTTATTTTTTATTAATCATGAAATTTTACGCGGAAAAAAAAATCTACTTGATTCGATTACTTGATGCACAATTATGAGTCACTCGGCTTATGGAGTCCACTTGATCATCGGTCGAACCACTCGGCTCATCACGAGGTTTACTATTTACAATTGACCATTTGCGGTCAACGTGGGATTTTTTTGTTTTGTTTTTTCTTCATGGGACACTTATTAAATACATTTAATAAGGAATCTCCCAATTGTCATTACGAAAGCATTGATCACACATAACGCAAAAATAAATAAATTATGCATCGAAAACCGCATATTTTCTTTACTTAGTTACTTGATAATTGTCATTGGATCAATTTTTTTTAACAAAGTCCCTTTTTTTAATTTCTCGTTTGTGTTGGCAACCTTCTATCTCTTTACTTCTACTGCCAATAATAATAATAATAATAATAATAATGGTAAATAGGTCTTCGATCCATTTTAATGCGACCAAAGTATTAAATGCTAGGAGTTGATAGTTGAATTTTGTAAAAAAGTCAATAAAGAAAAAAAGAACTATAGAATTAAATGAGGCGTAGGTGGTGTGCTCGTCAATTTGAATCTGCCCGGAGTGGGTGGGAGGCAAGGGCCTTAAATGGATAATCGATATGCCCAAAGTACTAAGGATACATATTAAGGACTGATGCTATTACTATTAGTTTACCAAGAAGACATACAAAACAACTGTATATATAATTTTCTCAACGAATGTTATTCTAGGGATACTTGGTATCAGCAATCAATCGATAAAGCTTCGTAGCTTCCCGAATGTAATAACAACCTCAAAGTTAGGTTTTTTTAAAATTAAAAAAAAAGTTTTTTGGGGTGGATTTGTTATTGTCCCTAACTTTCATATCCAAGAATAATTTTATTTTGGAGAATTTCAACAATTTTTATTTGGTTTGATTTGTTATCGAAGCGAAAATGCGACGTCGGTTTGTGCCTATCGCTCCATTACTTTACTGATGAGGATTTGTTATCGATATGAAAGTGCCATGTCAAGTTGGGACTCGATCACAAGAGTATATTTTTGAAAATTAATTGAAATTTGCTGATTTTTTTACATAAAACAAAATTCGAGGCAGATTTGGGACTGAACTTCAAGTTTGTGGTTTTTTCAAAGACAAAAAAAAGCTTGGGGCAGATTTGGGACTTGACCTAAAATTTGAGGTTTTTTAGGGAATTCACCCTGTTTTAAGTGCATATATTTGAAGACTTATACCAGGTTGATGCACTAATGTCATTTTAGCAAATCACCAACTTGTATTCCTAATTTTTTTAGCATTGTGCAACTATAACCCTACCCTTTACATGCTCACCAAGGACAAGAATGCCTTGGCCATTTTTGTAAATGAGAAGCAAGGCCGGGAATCAACGAGATGGTTAAGCGATAAATGAGGTGTAAACCGAGCTCTATACCAAGTTATATGATTTCAATCTAATATCTTAAGCTTTTGATTCGTGTTAAATTGGTAATAACCATATCAATGGACCCCCAAAGTCCCACTAATGAAAGAACATGACAGCCCGCATATATTTCCTCCGTTATAATTGACACATCGCATTTGATATGGGTGGTCATGATTTGAAAAGTTGACTAACTATCTAGATCGATGGCGATGAACTCGAGCTGTGTTGAAAAAGATAACACGGCTCGTGTACTTAAAAGATTAATTCGATAAACGATCTACCCAAAACAGGAAAAGAGAGAAAGAGGGGCCGAGAGACGTACACAAAGGCGGACAGGTATCGCCACTTGGCGGTGACGGGGACGTGCAGAGGCGGCAAGCTGGGGCTGACCTGGACCGGCACGGTCTTGGTCTGCTTGTCGACCCCAAGGACGACAGCAGCGGCAAGAGTCAGCGCCATGGCCAGAAGTCTCAGCACCAGACCGCAGGTACTCGTCCTCCTGTTCTCGCCGTAACCCTTCACGGCCTTGTTCGCTTCGCCATCCCTATCCATGTTCGTTTCTGTTCCCACAGGTGCGGTAACTCTCCCTGCCGATGCACAAGAACTTTGGCTTGTGTGCGTTTTCTGCGTATGCCTGAGAGAGAGAGAGAGAGTGGTGAATAATGAGATCAAATGGGGATTTCAATTTATAGGCAAATGAAAGGGGTCGGCCAGACCTTACCCAAAAAAAAAAAGGGGTCGGCCAGAGAGATAGGAAGGTTTGGACTCATGCGTTGTTCTTCTTTTTTTTTTTGTGGGGGGAGGGGTGTGGGGGGTGTGGGGTGGTGTGGAAGCTAAGAAGAGTTCGCAAGGAAGTGGGTCATGCCATGAATTTATGGCATTGCATGGAAAGGTGGGTGTACACATTCCCAATTCGGCTATACACGCTGTCGCTCCATCATTTCGTGTGGGTGCATTCACACTCAAACTCTCTTTTCAATAATTCCAACTAGTTTTAGAAAATTAGATGCTAGGTAAATCTGTCAAAATGGGTTGTATACCCATTTCTTAACCCGTATATGATGAACGTACCTTAGAGGACCGAACCCCCGAATGTGGTAAAATATGGGGATGACTCGTGGCTAAGGATGAAAGGTCAACCAAGATTGGATATAGCTGATTTTCCGCGAAAGCCAGCTATAAGTCAGAGGAGAGTGGATCTCCAGGGTAAAGGTAGCCCAAGTCTGTCAATCCATCAATCTGTCGGTGGCTGTGGCTTGGCTTCATGCAAGCCTATGTCTTCTGCTTTTTGTTAATTATATGAGTTAATTATATCCAGTAACTAAATCATAAATGAGTTTAAACATAATATGGGTGTTGAATGGAACATGATTGGATTTATAACTTATCCATATCCAATTCACCTCTATGACTTTCTTTTCATTCTCTCTCGTCATCACTCACTCCGCACTCTCACCTCAGTTTTCCTAGATTTGGTTAAATATGGAAGTGTTTTAATATAGGTTGGGTCGGATCATTTTCAACCCAACTTGACCCGCCCTATTCGACATGTCTAATAAGAGGTATTATGGCTTATGGTAGGCTCTAATAATGTATTTCATATGACCCAATTATTTAAATGACCAATTAGAATGCACCACGTGTGGCTTAGTATACGAATTCCGACTACTACTTTTGGTATAGCCAGAATTTAGGTTTTTATCCTCTTTCTTTTGGTCAATCGAATTCTTGTACCCGAATTAGGACCAAGTTTCCTTGATAGATTCGAAAGATAAAGCATTCGAGAGAGATTAATTTTTTTTTTCTTTTACTCTTAGAGATTAGGGTTTGAATTTGAGGACTCCCACTTCTAGGAGTGAGCATGGCCCGGGTCGGGCCGATCCAACACCTAACCCTGAAGCCAACCCGCACAGTGTTGGTCCCCAATTTTTGGGACGAGGACTGACCCTATTGAGCTTAGGACCGAGGACTGGACCGACCCTATGGGTCTGGTCTGGTTCCAAGGTCAACGCGGGACCAACCGATTTTTTTTATGTTTCATTTTTTTTATTCCTTAAAAGGAAAAACGGTATACTTTGAAAATACATATCCATCGACAATGCAATATTGAGTAACCAAACTATGGACCCCGGTATAAATCAAATAAAAATCTAAGATAAGGCAACAACAAAAATCTCCACTTGATGGTAAACAAACACGTGAAATAAAATTAAAAAATAAAATGGTCAAAATACATAATGTAAACCATGAATTATACAACTTCATATCTTGTTTATTCTCAAAAGATTGCTTCAACTTTTGAATACCTGAAAGTAATACAAGCAACTTCATATCTTGTTCGTCCATGAGGCGTCGAGAGGCGATGAACTACGTTCGCCGTTCGAGGCGCCGAGGAGAGCCAAGTGAGGTCACCTGCGTTCGCTGTTTGAGGCACTGAGGCAAGCCAAGAGAGGCAAGCTGGTTCGTAAGGCAAGCAAAGAGAGGTAGATCTAGTGAACAGCCACAGAGAGGCAAGGGAAGAGAGGCGACGCTCAATAGTCAATAGGGTTTCTATTTTCAACGCTAGAAGAAAAGGAGGGAGGGGGCTTAGGTTCTTTGGAAAATAAATAAATATATTTTTATTTTTATATTTTTATATATACAAGGTTGGTCCGAGTTGAATCAACCGTAAACTCCCAAGACCGAGGACCAACCCCCACAGTGCAGGGTCCAAGGATCTCAGGACTAAAGACCGGCCAGGTTGGTACAGGGTCAACCCTGGACCGTTGCTCACCCCAGCCATTTCGTAGCATACATGTATAGGCCATACATTTGACTTTTACGTGTGTGCGAGAAGGTACTTGTAGAAATTTCCATCGGTAGGCCTCTTTTTCCATACGTGACGCACCTATTACATGAAGCTAACGAATTCTATTATGACTTACACACTCGCCATTAAATGACACCGCTTAAGAATTGGAAAGACTTCAAATCAGTCATAAACTTATTGTACGGATGCCAATTCAATCCTAATTTTTTTAATTTTGACAATTTAGTCATAAACTTTTGTGCAAAATTTCAATGGAATCCTTCCAATCAATATTCGCCGGAAATTGTTAACACGACGATCATGTCATCGCTCGCCGTCTTACATGATATACTGCCTCGTCAGCAATTTTCAATGAAAATTGGCTGGAATGAATACATGGGAATTTCTTACAAAATTTTAGAACTAAATTAGCAAAATTTAAAAGTTTAAAAACGAATCTACATTCGTACAGTAGATTAGGACTGATTGGACAATGTCCCAGCATTTTCTTGCCTCAAAGCGACAATTATGAACTCAACGACCACCGATTATAAAACTTATTTAGCTGCATTCACACAAAAACAAATAAAAATATTTTTAATATATCTAATAATTATAGTAATTGAACACGTAGATATAGTTTGGAGATATGTGCAGGTTGGTGAAGGAATGGACATATATTATTTGATCTTTCTTTGGTAATTTATTAATGGGTATTTAGATGTGAACATTTCCCATACTTTCATACGGTTTGATTTCTGACAAAACGTCATGAATTCCGAAGTTGGGGCGATATGATCTTGCCTGTTCAGACCGTTGTGGGCTTCACTCCGAATAGGGTTTGTCTTATCTTTTCTGATGTCAAAATTCAAAACCCTTCTTGGCAAAGTCTTCATCTTCATTTATTGATATGGCAATTCATGCCATTGGACTTTTGTCAGATTTTTCTAGGGAGCTGGGAAGTTTGAAAGACTAGTCAGGAATTAGGGTTTATGTCCATATCGTGGACTGCTCGCCGAGTTACTAGACGAGAGACTGTGATTACGAGGGAGTGATGTTGATTATGTACTTACGGTTTGTTAAGTTAGTAGAAATAATTAATTAAGTTGGTGATCCGTCATTCAATGACAACCTCATTTTTAGTTGAACCATATTAATTGCCATGAAAGAATTCCACACAACTTTGCTAATTTGATAACACCCCAATAATCGAAAAGTTGTGAACTGTCCAATAATGCTTAATTCAACAGTGCCAAGGGTAAGAAATGTTTAGAACGAGTGATACCTAAAATCTCATTTTCGAAAGCGTATATTGCGGGTCTTAGAAGCCATTTACACATAACTTGCTTTTTTCTTTTGTTTCTTATAATTAGAGGGCACGTTCGTGGGGACTCTAACTTTTAAATGCTCATGAAATATCTTCGAAATTCAATAAACCGATTGAGCTCTGGCTTTTTTCTTGATATGGTCCTAGCCGGAGCGATTTACACGTTATTGATGGCATTTGAATAAATAACATTTCAATCTCCAAGCTGAAAATCCTAGACCCTAATCAGCTGCTCTTATTCCTTAATCCTTTAAACAGGCTACATTTGTCTTAACGCATTTTGATAATCCGAACCCCCAAGAAAAAAAAGGGCAAAATATAAAATCAAAATACAAATGGGTTCATTACATGAGAATCAATGTGAATTTAATGCGTTCTTCACGTTGGTAGTTAAGAAGTATTTCATGAGATATGACAGAGTGGCCAATCTTGTTTTCTAATATCGGGTATGAATAAAGGCTCCAGGCTTCCAGTATCCAGACTGACCACTTATTAAGTGGCCAAGAGAAAAACAATGAAATTGTGAGGGAGACGTGGCCAAAACATATCCATTCATCGTGTTACTCTGTACTCCAATGGAAGATATCCACAATTATCTCTGCAAATCTGCCAGATTGGACAAAGACCCTTCGGTCCGGACTGCAAACCAATTGTTGTCATCTTCTCAGGAGCGGATGAAACCCCGGATTTTCAATTTTATTCGATCTAATCTCTATTCTTCTTTTTCTTTTATCGTGAAGTAGTCTCTAAACTATGTGTTTTTGTATTCCATTAGTTCTTTCTGCTAAAAATTGCAAATGGAAATGCTATGCGGACCGCTGTCTCAGTGCCACGTTAGCTCTGACCATCTCGAATGCTGAGAGAAAGAGAGAGATGGAAGTGGCGGCTCCGTCCAAAGCACCAAGAAGGGCCACCAAGTGCCCGCCAGCCTTTGGCCAACCGTGGCACGGTGCCACCGCATACAACAGAGTTGGAGCCACCATCTCTCACCACCTCGGACTCGAGCCACCCTGAATCTGCCGTGGCCGGGGTCGTACGACCTCAACTATTTATTGTCACCAGCACTGTGCGACCTCGGCCAGCCTTTGTCGGGGGTCGTTGTGACCCTGGCCATCTTCAGACTGTGGCCGCTCAGCCCCGCGAGTGGCACCAATGCTTGCTGGCCCATCCTTTGTCGGGGTCATGATGACCCTGGCCACCTCCAGGCTGTGGCCGCTAGGCCCTGCAAGGGGCACCAATTGTATTTTCTTTTTTCTTTATTATAAATCTACTTATATTATTTTAAAAAATTCCAATGCGCAAAGAATGCCACGTATCCGTCACGTCATCATTTCATTTACATTTTTAAAACGGTACCTCCCTTGTGATTGATCAACTTAAAAAGAGGTTTGCACTGAACAAAGGATTAGATCCATGTCATATTTCAGCAATTAAAAATACACTTATAACATTATGATCTTTAATAGGAAGCCATTGACGTAACAATCTCCATAGCATTGAAGTTGATATATACCAATACAAAGTTCATATCAAGGACCCGAAAATGACGATGAACTCCTCGCCAGATTAGG